ATTACTGTGCAACATTTTTTTTAACTGATTGTCTCTCTCTTTCTCTCTCTCTTTAAAAAATAAAAACAAAACAAATTCCAAGGAAATTGAAAACAATTATATAAATATCAAATAAATTTTAAAAATGGTGCCGTACTGCTGGCAGCAAAGGAAAAAGAATCACGCCTGCTGAAACTCTACCCACCTACTTGCCTCACACTTAATTTGGTAGCAGAACTGATTCTGTTTCTGATTTGGATGGACGCTAAATGAACAAACTGCGAGGGATTCCTATTGCCTCGGTGAAGATGTTAAACTTCTTAAGCACTGGAGTTCTGCACTGCAACCATCTAACAAACAACACACACGTAATAACAGGATGGAAATAATATAACTGGGGAGGCAAATCCCTCAAACTCAATATCTGATTGTAAATTCAATTTCAATGGTCGGCTGCTGTCTTGTGCCTTCCAATAAAGTTGAATTATTGAATCAATGTGATTCGGTTTTACGGAGAATATTACTGCGAGGATTGTACAGCAAGCTATTACATAGTTATTAATTTGTGATTTCAATAACTGACAATTGTCCCCATGATACTGGGAAACCATCCTACATCTTTTTTTTGATGGATAGATATTTTACTTTTAACAAAGCAACAAGCCCCTCTTTATTTCTTTGTTCAAAACGATCTCCAATCTGCTTTGCACATGGACATCGCCTAACGTAGTCATTTTTCCTAAACGCTACAAATAGTCAGATTCTCCTGTCTATCAGCTCTTGGCTCCTTTCTCTCATATTATGTGTTAAAATCAGCAGCCAACATTACACCCTTCCAGAAGATTTATGCATTCACGGGGGCAAAATACATTTTGTAGCAGGATACAGGTCTCACACCGGGTCTGTAATTCTTTCTCCAGCCACTCCGGCGTCATATTTATGTGAGTTCCTGAGGAGTTGGATAGGAGTTGGCAAAATGCCCATGATGGTGATTATAGAATCTGCCGGCTTCTTTGCTTTGAACTGAGGCCTTTCTGAACAATGGATAATGACTTACATTTGGTATATTTTTGAACACCTGCCTATGTAAGTCTGTTACGATTCATCTTGCTTTGCTTGGAGAAACAAGGATTTCTCATAAGTTTGAAATTTAAAAGAGCTGTGGTGGCGCAGTGGTTAGATTGCAGTATTGCAGGCTGATTCTGCCCAAAGCCAGCAGTTGGATTCTCAACAGTTCAGAGTTGAGTCAGCCTCCTATCCTTCTGAGGTTGGTAAAATGAAGACCCAGATTGTTGGGGGTGGGTGGGTCAATAGGCTGACTCTGTAAACCGCTTAGAGAGGGCTGTAAAAGCACTGTGAAGTCTAAGTGCTATTGCTATTTATAGCTGAAACCTTGTCTTACTTTTAATCAGTTTTTGAAAAACGTTGGCGGTTAGCAGGCACATTTCAAGCTGGAAGGATGTGGATTCTCCCATAAAATGGCTCCTATTGTGGATACAGATAGTCCTCGACTTACAATCATTCATTTAGTCACCAATCAAAGTTATAACAGCACTGAAAAAGTGACTTACGACCGTTTTCCCACTTATGACTGTTGCATCATTCCCATGGCCACATAATCAAAATTCAGACAGTTGGCAACTGGTTCATATTTATGACAGTTGCAATGTCCTGGGATTATGGGATCACCTTTTGCGGCCTTCTGACCATCAAAGTCAGCAGGGAAGCAAGATTCACATAACAATTGGGCTACTCATTTAACAACTGCAGTGATTCACTTAGCAACTATGGCAAGAAACATCATAAAAAGGGGCAAAATTCACATGACAACTGTCTCAATTAGCAACATAAATTTGGGGCTCAATTGTAGTTGTATCTTGAGGACTACTTGTATAGGCAGTCATAAAAGGATCCTGATTTCTTTCATTAGCTGCAGCTGGGAACATGGTGTTTAACAAGGGAAGCTGTGCACAGCAAAGTTGTTGGGAGCAAATTGTGAATTATCTGGTATCATCGAGGTTTATCTGGGTTCTTGGCGTCTTCCCAACCATGTGTGTTTTGCTGGACTTTCAAGGCTGCAATTCCTTCTCCTGCCCTGTCAAGTTAATTACTGCAGCGTGGTTTGTGTGGATTTTTATTTACAGTTTGTATGTACTTTGTTTTCAGATTGAATTTCCTCCACTTAAAGACTGTTCTTGGGAGAGTTTTTTCTCCAGCTGAAGGTAACTTGGACACTGGGGCCAAAGTTGGAAGTATTAAAGGGACATTTCTTGCTTATTTGACTGTGTTGTTTTTGTGCCACGCCCTGGATCATCACAGACCTCCTCTTCCTCTTCCCCTCAGCATGATGCCTACCATTCCAGCCTCCAATATTTTTCTAGGCAGATGGGGAAACTCTTCCACAGTGAAGTCTATCTTAAAGTCATACAATGTTTTGTCTCCCTACCACTCCAAATCTGTGTGACCCATTTGTGGCAAGGCACTATTTGTTAAGCCTAACACTCCGCAAGGCTTTGGTTGGGAAATGAGGAGAGGCCACAAGTACAAACCCTGAATTTTCTACAGGAAAAATAATGTACAAATGTAATAATAAAACAAACATTGCCCACGATGAGAGGGATAGCAGATAAAAGAATTTGGGTGACTCTTTTATAGTAGGATAAGAGGAAGTAGGATTAATATACTTGTGCTTGCAAAGAAAAATAGCAATGTAATGCAACAGTTGGAATAACATTACAACAAGGTGTTCAAAAGATAGTGGCAGGGGTGGGATTCTACCAGTTCACACCTTCTACCAGTTCACTAGAACCGGCTGTTAACATTCTAAGCAGTTTGGAGAAGCGCTTGTTAGAAGAAATGACTGGCCTAATCCTGTAAGGAAGGCAGGAAAGAAACATTCTGGTGTTGCTTACAGAAACTGCCTCTCCGTTAACCCTTATTACATTCTTGGCAGAACTAGAGTTCCTGTCTCAGGAACGTCTCTGGAGTTTTTTTCCCCCTCCTTTGCTGGTACTTTGCTTGTGTGGAGTGATCATTTAAAGTTACAATGGCACTGGAAAAAGTGACTTATGACCATTTTTCACACTTACGATTATTGCAGCATCCTCACAGTCATGAAAGGCCAGTCATGAGAGGCCAGGCGAGGAGATGCGTGCCTTGATGTAAGTAATATTGAGTTGGCCACACCCAGCCAATAACCACCAAGCCATGTCCACCAAGCCACACTCACTACCTAAGCCACGCCCACAGAACCGGTTGTTAAAAATTTTGAATCCCACCCCTGGATATCCTAGTTCAGGGATCTCAAACTCAAGGCCCATGGGCTGGATCCAGCCCATGGGGAGCTTAGATCTGGTATACAGGGGCACCCTGAAAACAGTGAAGGTTCTCCGTGGTGCCTCTGCCAGAGAAAATGAAGCTCAGGAGAGCTGCAAGCGATCCTTGCAAGCTCTGTTCTCGCTGGCAGAGGGTTGCAGGAGGCTGTCACAGCTGGAAACAGAGCTCAGGAGCCCATTTTTGCTGGCAGAGCACTTGGGCCATCACAGGTGCCCCCAGCACAAGTGACAAACTGCCCATGCCCACCCTGGCCCCCTGAGGTCAAACAAAACGTTGATGCCGCCTTCAATGAAATTGAGTTAGACACCCCTGCTCTAGGATGACAGGCCATCTCTATAAGCCAAAGTGGGATCCTCCACCTCTCTAGAAAGAGAGTTTGAGACATGCAAGACTGATGTCAGCTTTTGAAGCAGTCCAGAGCAGGAGACCAAAGTCTATGAATAGTAAAAACTACTTTTCTTGCAAGGCTATTGAATCTTGCAAGTCTGAAAGGTATTTCCCCACTTCCTGACCTGTATGTACCAGAGAACTAAGGGACGATCAATTCTGAGATGCTGTCTCAACTTACATTTCTGTTTGGGCTCCAATTTTGTTTACCAAACTGTTGCCTAGGGTGGGGTTCTTCCTCCTGTCTTTCAAGGTTATTCTCACAACCCATTGCAGAACATACAAAACAATGATTTGCCCTTTCAGTGCTAGGCACCTTCTAATATACCTTGCCTTGAAAGACTCAGTTATCTTCTTCAGTAGCAAACGTTTCACTTTTGTTGAGCCACAAATTCCTTTCTGCTGAATGCCTTATCAGTTCTTGACTTCTGCTTCTTTATACTATCTTGCATCCCAAGTTTTTGTTCAGAGTCTTTCTTATGTAAGCCATCCTGAGCCTCTGGTCTTACAAGATTCCCATGGTGTTACTGAACCTAATTCTGTTCCTGGTTTCCAATGTGTATAGTTTTCATGGGCTTGGGAGTGAAATTTTTTGTACAGTCTTGCATATCTACCATGTCTTTGCCCGCCTCTTACATCAATAATTTGTTACAAATTCAAATTTTATTACTTATTTATCTAATTCATATCCTGCCTTTATTCTTTTTACAAATAATTCAAAGTGCTGCGCATATTCAACGCACCTTCCTCTTTCTGGGGAACCACAACAATCCTGTGAGATAGATTGGCTGGGAGAGAAGGACTGGCTCGAGGTCACCCAACTGAGATTGGGATTTCAATCCACATCTGTCTCTTGCTTTCTAGCCTGGTGCCTTAATGGCTTGACCAAATTGGCTTATTAAAAATTATAAACAACAGCAATAAAATATGATTGCCTACTATAATGTTATAGGTTACTTTTGTTTTTGTTTGTGTTGTTCTTCTCATAGCTATATTTGCTGCATTATAGTCATCTATCAGGAAGAGATTTAAGCAAAAATGAGAGACTGCATTTGGGCAGAAATGGTAGCCCATTTACAAGAAGCCTTCTCCTTTGGGATCGTTTTTTTGGGAAAAAAGTAATTCACTTCCATTTTGACTGTCGCACCATGAAATGTAATAATTTTAATATTGTTGAAAAACATATTGTAAGAACTGAGATACGTTAAGATGTTGTTCCAGCAATAACCTGCGATGGAATAAAGAGTTAAAAATTTACAGAAACCCAGGGGCAGTTTGTCATTAAAATTAGTACTTACTTCTGTGTTTGTGTAGTATAGCTGTTATCATAGGCTTCATAACTTGGCTCATCATATTCACCCCCATATCTATCATCGTATCCCTATAAGGGAAATAAAAGATCTAATTTAGAAGGCTGATCCAGTAACAGATTGACACCTGTAATAAAATCTTAATATTTAAGTATTATATTCATGCAAATTAACATATCTTCAAAAATACAGATTTGAATGCTTGTGGTCCTTCCAGTCAAAGAATTCCCTGAGCAGAGTTTTTCTCACAATTTCCAGTCAGAAAAGATAGTTACCTTCACTTTTGACTCTGTTATTGAGACTCATCAGTGCTGTAATGCAGAATTTGGGGAAGTGTTCAAGACTTTGAAAAGCTGGATTATTAATTTTCTACTAGGAGAATTCGGAAACCTCTAATTTGATTCAGTGGCCTAATCCAAAGCATCATAAGCGTGCCAATCAGGTTGAAATTACTACAGAAATAGTTTGGTGCCACAGAAATAGTTTGGTGACAAGACTGATAAAAATTGAGTTCCCTTGGTCAAAGTATGGCCTAGAACAACATGTAATTTGCACTGTTTTTCAACTGCATAAAGGTGAAACAATCATGTAAGCCATCTCTATGAGGAGGCTAATCATGCCAAGCAACTTGAAATAGGGGTCTCAAAAATGCCAGTTAAGTTTGTTGTTTTGGAATACAATAAAACATAAAGTGATGAAGATAAATGGGTTAGCAACCTTTACTGCAAAGAATGCCCATCCCAAATTCTAAACAGATTGTTTGTGAACTTGGCACTTTCTAACAGTATGAAAGAGGTGGGCTGGCAGATAAACTCTAGGCAAAGAAACACAATATGACTCTGGCAGAGAAAGGAAAATTGATTCCGGGTAGAGAGATAGAGGCTGACACTAGGCAAAATGAGGATATATGGCTAAAAGTAAACTCTAACGAAGGGAGCCCAGAACCACATGATAACAAAGGAATATTTGGAATATTTAAGGTTGAAAGTTATATAAATGAAAGAAAGATAGACGTGTTGCAATTAGAGCTGACCTACTATATGGGGTCAGCATGGAATGGACAGTAAACTCACAAAAGTAGACCACTAGTATACACAGCTGGTTACAAAAGTCTTCCACCATTATTTTGATCAGGTTATGTACAACAGTGGTCTGAAGAGAATCATAGCGGAAAGCTAGGCTGCTGTTTTTTTCTGCCTTAAAATGATCACGACCCCTTAGAAAACCAAGAACTGGCTACCCTGTTGGATCTGAGTTTTTTTTTTCTGCTGTAGAAAAATGAAGAATGTCTCAAAAGGTGCTTTTCTAAATGGCAACTATGCTTTCTTGATTATTTTTTCTTTGAAAATGATTTGCTTCTAATCCAAGTAGCATCTTCAGCTTCTTTGCTGAGAAGCTAAACATTTTCAAAGAAAAAAGTTTTGAAAAACATCTTTGGGAAAACCACGATCTGGATGATTGTGAATCTCCATTAGACAAATGTGAGGAATTCCTTTTCTTCATCTCACCTCCACCCTGTTTCTTGCTTTATGGTTCCTTTACAATTTCTACCAGCATGGTCTATCATCTAATGTTGGCCCTTCAGAAACTGCTATTGACCTACAGTAGGTGTGCAAATGATGGCCAGCACATATAGCTTTTCTGATGCAGTGCTTTTATCTCAGTCTTTGGCTATTAGGTATGCTCCTAGTAAGGCTGAAGAGCAATTTATTGTATATCCTAGGAAAATGTTAATGAAGGCTACAATTTTTTTCCCTGGAGTTCAGCATATAAATGCATTTCTAAATAGTGGTGGGTGAAATAATAGCTTAAAAAATGACTAGATGATTACAGGAATGCATTGCCTCATTATATCACTAAGAAGCTTATTAGTGGCATATAAAACATATTTTTCTCTCTGTCTCTGTGTCTTTCTTTTCCTTCCTTCCATTTTCGTACAGAGAGAGCCACAAGTAAATGTTGTACCAAATGTGTTCTTAACTTATGTCATGGTTCTAATTTCTTCTGCCCAACTAATAATTGGAAGGATACACTATAAGTGCTTGGATAAAATCATAAAGCCTATCAGTAGTCAGGTGGGTCATGCAAATGAGCTGCTTTGGCTTCTAATTCTGCAAAATTTCCAAGAATGACTCTCAATGTTGATTTTAGAAGATAGGGTTGCTTAAAAATCACATCTTCTAACAGTATGAAACATTATGAAATAGGTGAACTCATGAATTAGCTAAAAAAAGAGTTTTCCAGTAAAAAAGATTGGGGCCTGAGGAAAATCTCTTCCAAGCTCTTCACTGGTCAAAGCTGCAGCTCAGAAATTCAATCTGATGTTCATGCTTCTGAATCAAGCTGACTTTCTGAGTCAAATCAGATTAAACTAGGTTATTTGTTCTAACCCAATTGAAAAACCTACAAATCTGAATGAAACAACTCAACACTCCTATAAATAAAATAGGCATCCACAAAAATTTGAACCTATGTCTCACATTGCTCTAACATCCATCCATCATCCATCCGTCCATCCATCCATCCATCCATCCATCCATCCATCCATCCATCCATCCATCCATCCATCCATCCATCCATCCATCCATCCATC